AGGAGTAGCCCACTCCAGGACTCAGGTTAGCACCAGCTAAAGGAAGCCTGGATCTGGGAATAACACGAGTGTGGTTCTAAGAGGTTGGAGAGGGTCAGCCCTGGAGGCAGCCAGCCAGGGAGCTTGGCAGGGGCTACCTGAGTTCCCACGGGGTTTCCTGACCTTCCCCTTTCTTGGCATTAGCCTTGCCCCAAGTTCCTGTAATTGTCACCATTTTTCAAGGCAGGACACAGGATGACTACTTGGTTGTTTTTTCCTGAGAGCCCTATCTCTCTTCTTTTCCTTTCCACCGAGAATGGGGAGAACAGATATGATGATGACCCTAAAAATGATCAAGGAATATGGAAAGAAAAACTAACAGTTCAGCAATCAGAGAAATGATTAAAGGAAAAGTTGGTTCATCTTCTGTTCTGTTCAGGCTTGCATTCTGTTTTTGTTGTGACCTATATTCTAAATTCTAAATCCGTAGACTCTGAATTAAAAAAAAAAATGAGTCCTAGATCGATATGGTGGCACATGCCTTTAATCCCAGCACTCAGGAGGCAGAGGTAGGCGGATCTCTGTGAGCTAGAGACCAGCCTAGTCTACACGAGCTAGTTCCAGGACAGGCACCAAAGCTACAGAGAAACCTTGTCTGGAAAAAACCAAAACAAACAAACAAAAAACCCAAAAAACTCAGCAGAGACAAGAGACTCTCTGAGAGTTCCAGACCAGCCAGATCTATAGAGGGAGTTTCAGGACAGCCAGGACTACAAAGAGACCTTATATCGAAACAAACAACAACCAAAAAACAACAAAACCCTCCAACAAACAAAATTACATCTTTACAGAACAGGACAGGTTACAGACTTACTGTGGTTATCATTCCCAGTGTAACAACCAATTGTATACATATAGATACAACTACGTGTATCATACTTCATGCATTTACATAGTATTAGGTATTTTTAAATAATCCAGAGATGACAAAAGAAATTCAGGAGGATGTGCATAGATTATATGTAAATATAACAACTCTTAATGTAAGGGACCTGAGCATCCTCAGATTTGGTATTTGAGATAATTGTATTATAATGACAGCTTTTTGAAGCAGGGTCTCTCTATCATATACCTGATTGCTCTAGAACTCGATATGTAAACTAGGCTGACCTCAAACTCACCGAGATCCACCTGCCTCTGCCTCCCTAGTGCTTGGATTAAATGTGTGTGCCCACACCCCTGGCTATAATGTTTTGCCTTATCCAAACTATAGCTAACCAGGCCAAGGGTGGTGGCTCACATGTACAAATCAGTACTTGGAAGGCTGAGGCAGTCTGAACTACAGAGACTCGGTCTCGAGGGAAAAAAAGAAAGAGTAAGTTGTAGCTTAATGTAGTATGCTTTTCTAGCATGTATTAGCTCTGGGTTTGATTCCCAGCAGCATATAAACTAAATATAGCCCTTGCCTGTAATCCAGATATAGGCCAAAGGAGGCAGAAAGACCAGGAGTTTCTCAGCTAACTTGAGAGTTTGGGACCAGTCTGGGTTACAAGAGACTCTGCCTTAAAAACAAACAAAGCCCCCAATATTATTATGTACTGTGAGGTACAGAGGTATACACCTGTGATATCAGCAAGCACTCAGGATTTCAAGTCCAAGCCCTGTCTTGAATACAGAGTGAGACAGAAGCCGACCTGGGCCAAATAGTAGGATCTGCGTCTTTAAAAAACAAAAAGAAAGCTGGGCAGTGGTGGTGGCGCACGCCTTTAATCCCAGCACTCGGGAGGCAGAGGCAGGCGGATCTCTGAGTTCGAGGCCAGCCTGGTCTACAGAGTAAGTTCCAGGATAGCCAGGACTCTTACATAGAGAAACCCTGGCTCAAAAAAAAAAAAAAAAAAAAAAAAAAAAAAAAAAAAACAACCAACAAACAAACACAAAAAACCCCCAAAATAAAAAACAACCAACCAACCAAACAAACAAACAAAAACAAACAAACAAACAAGAAACCAAAAAAGAAGCAATAATAAAAAAAAAACCACCACACACGGATAAGATGGTTCATCAGCTGTTATGAGCACCAGCTGCTCTTCTCTTCCAGAGAACCTGGGTACAATTTCCAGGCCCACATAGCAGTTCACAACCATCTCGTACACCAGTTCCAGGGGATCGGATGCCAAATTATGGCCTCTATGGGCACTTCACATATGGTATACAGATAGCATGCAAGCAAAACAGCCATACACATAAAGTTAAAAAAATTTTTAAATAAACTAAAAAATGATATCCATTCACCAAAGAAAAAAGTATCATAGCTAAATTCACTGCATGCTTAGTATGTAGCAGAGAATATTCTAGGCATTGGGTATATATTTTATCTAATTTAATTCACTTTACAATAAAACTATTTGGTAACTGTTACTTAAGCAGTAGGAACCATATAATGACAGTGTCCTTGCTTCAGGTAGTTCAAGGAACACTACATCCCCAGCCCAACCAGACTTTAAAAATAGTAATAAAGTTATCATTTACTATGCTCTTACTGTGTCAGGCACTAGAAATAGAAAAGAACAAATATAGAAGAATATTCCTGTCCTCGTGGAACTCACACTATAGTGGAAGACAAGATGGGCATAATGGTCCATGCTTTTAATCCTAGTACTTAGACGGTCCAGGGCTGCCAAGGTTATGTAGAGAAACCATGTCTCAAACAAAAACAAAATACAAACCAGAAGACAGACTATAAACAAGGGAACAAAGAAGCAGATGACTGATGTAAATGAGAATACGAGAATGGCATGAGAATTATCAGGCTTGAGACCAAGGGAGGATGGCATTTCAGCTAAGGCCTGAAAGTATACTCTAGACAGCAAGTGCAAAGTTCCTATGTGAAGCGAGGTTTAGAGGCTGAAGGGATGGCTCAGTGGCAAGGACGTGTACTGCCCGTTCCCAGCACCCACATCAATAGGCTTACAGTAACCTGTAACTCCTGTTCCAGGGGACCTGACACCCTCTTCCGGCCTTTGCTGCCAGCTACATGCACATGCATACACTCAGGCACACACATGTACATTTAAAGTTTTAAAAATGAAACAAGTTTTATGGAGCTGGAGAGATGGATCAGCAGTTAAGAGCACTGGCGGCCTCCCGGAATACCGATGTTCAATTCACAGCACTCATACACTAGCTCACAGTGGTCTCTAACTCCAGTTCTAGAGGATCCGAAGCCCTCTTCTGGTCTTTGTGGGTACCAGTCATAACACGCGGGCAAAGCTACCACACATACAAACTGCCGAAAAGGAACAAGTTTTAGGAACAGTAGTGACATCGTGGCTAAGGTTCAGCTAAGGAAGAAGGAGGAAGGCAGTCTGATGGAAAGCCGGGGAAAGCAAGTACTACATGACCACAAAGAGCTGGGTTTTCTGTGAATTAAAATATACTTTGGGAAGCGACTGGAAGGCTTTAAGCAGGGAAGTGGTATGATCTGATTTATTTCTAGCTTCTAAGAACTACCTGATGCTGTGTAGGACTGCAAAGGTGCATGAAGGGGGAAGGGGGAGATCAGAGGAAGTAGTGGTTCAGGCAAGAGATGATGAAGGCATGGACCACAGAAGCAAGGCTGGAGACAGAAACAAAAATCCCAAAGTGGAATCGACCTCTTTAAATGCCAGAACACTCAGTGGATTCCTGTTACCCCTCATGCCTTCCAGGTGAAACCCAGGATGCTGTTCGTCAAACGAGAACGGCACACTGTTAAGTATTCAGCACACATCAGCTTGTTAGACTAAAACTGTTTGGGAAAAGATTCAGGTATGTCTCTGGATTGGGAGTGGGGCTGTCAGGGATGAACTAGGGTGGTGCTGTGTGATGTAGCACATCCTTCTGGTGACTTATCTGCTTCTCTGGTAGAATATGAATGAAATGAGCCCCAGAAGACTAACAATAAGTGACACCAGCATGCTAGAATGGTAAGCAATTGCCCTACCTCAAAGCAAAAATAACCCTTTAACAAGTTTTAGCAAGTTCCTCACATGTTTTGTGTTCAATCCCTATTTCCCCGGAATCAAAGGAAGCACATATATACACGCTCTACCAAATCAAAGAAACTCAATGACTAGGCTTGCCGACCGAAGAAATCAAATCCGGAGCTAATCTATTCTTTTCCCACAAAGCAGCCACTTTTGAGTCCTGAGTGACGTCAGATCAAATTCCACCAGACCAATGAGTTCCAAGAGTCCAGTGGCAGGTGACGCCCTAGAAAGAAATTTCTGCGAGGATGAAGTTTCCACCGATAGCCTCAGTGCTCTTCCCTCGGGACTTCTCTAGGGACCTACACGTGTCTCTACGGGAACCTCAAGGGGAGCAAAACAGAACAAAGGGCAAACGATCGCGGTAGTGCAGATCTGGGGTCCTGAAGGACGGACACAATGGACAGAGAGAGGGTGGGAAGGCTGATTTTGGCTAGAAAGGTCAGAAATCGTGGGAGCGACGCTTAGGCTTTACCCAAAGGGTCCCCTGTGGAAATGAAGGGATAGCCCACCTCTCTCCTGGCAGTGCAACAGGGTGCTCTCCCGCCACACCCCTCCACTTCTGAGAAACTGAGATTCGTGGTTCCAAGAGAGGACCTGAACTCCATCCCGCGCGGCGTCCTGTGCCTTTTGCCCAGGACCCGGCAGAGTCTGCTCTTTCCCGCTGCACCCACACGTCTGGTACTCACCGTCCGCGAGGACGCCCCTTCTCTCAGCCGAGTGGCGAGCGGACTCGGTGCCGCCTCCGGCCTGTGGCTGCCTGCAATCTCGGCTGTGAGCTCACATCCTGGGCCCGCCGACTCCGGACCTACGACCCAGCCCTACAGCTCGGGAAACATACTACAAGGCCCAGCATGCACAGCGCGCGAGTAGGCGGTGGAGTCGGGAATCCCGCTGAGGTTTGGCTTTCTTCCGCTTCTGGGTATGAGAGCAAATCTACTTCCGCTGGCCTCCGGCGCAAAGGCTTCTGGGTCTCGTGGGCCGTTATCGCTCCTCTCGGATTGCCTCTATTTCCCAGCAGGCACTGCGGGCTGGGCGGATGCGAGTGGTTCTGGTGTCAGGGGGTGACGTGTGGCTACCAGGTCCTGTATCCGTGGCAGCGGCCGGTTGCGGTTACCGTCTGGGCTGTAGCGTGCCGCCGCGACGGGTCGGCAGGTATGTCGTGATTTGAGATCGGGGGACCTGGTGGACTTGGGACTTGAGGGCGAGGTGACCCCGCGCTGAGGGTTGGCAGGCCCAGGCCGATAGTGGTGGTTTAGAGAGAGTCGGTTTACACCCAGCTCAGCCCTAGAGCGCGGCTCCCTGCCATCTCCGCGGGAAACCGAGGCTCGGACAGTGCAGGAGGATAGCGTAGTAAAGACCGCTACGTCCTTTGCCAGTTGTTCCTGACTGTGCCCGCGCCTTCTCCGCACCCCACAGCCGCAGCTGTCCATAGTGCCTGCGGAGCCCGTCACCGCCCTCATGCTTAGGAACCTCAACCCCAGGTCCCTGGTACATTTGGTGGAAGCTGGGGGTGAGGCGGGGTTCTGTTAGTCCGCTGCGCACCATTTCCCTGCAATTCGCTTTCTTACCCATCTCATTCAACTGTCCTTTCCAGCCACACACTCGGTCCACCCCACATTCATGGCCATCACGCTCGGCTCTTTTCCCTCATCTCCAGTTTGCTGCTTTAAGAGATCTGTTACTAAATTCTATAGACTCAGAAACCATCTCAGCTCCGAACTCGCCTTCAGCTTCAAGTCTTTTCTTTCTTCTGTTAAGCCTACCGTTTCCACATCCATTCATTCCGCAAACATTAACAGAGTGCCACTTACCTGCAGGCAGCCTGCTTAGATGCTAGGCTCTCAGCGAAGAATCTGGGAGCTGCTGTTCCTCTTCCCTCCCGTAGGCCAAGGCAGTGATCTTTGCTAATCTGATCGCCGAGCACTGCTAGCTGTTACCGTTATAGAAAGCCAAGTTCAGGGCTGGAGCTTCTCAGCATCCAGCCCTAGCCAGTCTAGCCTCGTTGCTCCCTCTTGTCGTTGATACCACAGCCTTTGTGTCAAATTCTAGCTTCAGGATCTTCCCATGCGCTTTCCCCTCTGCCCAGAATGCCTCTCTCCCACCTTCTCTTAGAAGATTTTTTGGGACACGTTTAGTTAGGTTTCATATCTTTTTTTTTTCTGAAGGCTTTTGTTGACCGCCCTCTGCCCTGTGAGTGCCGCGCTCTTGCAGCGGCTTCACAAAGCGCCCAGCGCTGTTCCTCGTGGTCTTATCACAGTTTGTGCTTGTTTGCCTGCTGTGTCTGACTAGAGACACTGTGTTCACTCTGTCTTTGGAGCAGGGATTCCAGTTTTTTGAAGAAATGCATGCAAACGGAAGTTTAGATAGGTGTGTGCACCCTCATATTACACGGACTTTTCTGTAGCTCCTGATCCAGTTAATCCCTGGTAGCTCTTAAGTGCTCGACTGTTTGTCCAAATAGAATAGCACAAGAAGACAATTTGGTTTTGAGACAGGGCCTCATGTAGCACAGGATAGCCTGGGACTTGGTATGTAGCCCAGGTTGGTCCTAAATTTGTGTTGGGTTCCTCTGGCACAACTCTGGGGTCAGAGTCATCTATGACTATAGCTGGCTTTTAGTGCTTTAATTTTTTTTAAATTCACTCAGATTTTTTTCTTTTTTCATTTCAGTGCATGCATTTGAAGAGCCTTTTGGGGTGCACACGTGGGGATTTCTAACTATGCTTATGGCTCACAGCTTAGGCCAGATGCACCCAAGTGAGCTGCTGTTTTTACTTTTTTGTTGGCTTAGTGATAGTGCTGTAAAATCACTTAATGCAATATAGTTTTTCAGGTTCCATGGCTGTTTTCTTCCAGCTAAACTGTGCTGCTCCAGGGCAGGCACCGTGTTGCGTTCATCTTCACACCCAGCATCTAGCAGTGCTGGCATGTAGTAGGCACTCAAGAAATGTATGTTGAATGAACGATGCCTGTGACAAGCAACTGGACTTTATTCTTTCCTGACCCTTGCTCCTATGACATACCTCCTGACTGCCACTGTCACCCCTTCAAAGCAGAGCTTCTCTAGGGAGCCTGGAAGGGAAACAGGTGAGGCTGGGCGGTGGAGGCAGAGGGAACGGGGAGCGTGAGGCGGGCTTGCTGCTGGTATCGGGGACTGGAGTGGGCTGAAGTCGAGCCTGGATTTCCTTGGGTGTCTGGGCTGAAATTCAGGTTGGGGCTGATTTCTTTGCAGCTATGGCCAAGGACATCTTGGGGGAAGCAGGGCTGCACTTTGATGAGCTGAACAAGCTTCGGGTGTTGGACCCAGAGGTTACCCAGCAGACCATAGAGCTCAAGGAAGAGTGTAAGGATTTTGTGGACAGTGAGTATCACTTGGAGACACAGTGCTTTGAGCAAATTCACTACCCCACCTTGACTAGCGCTCTTAGGTCTCCCAGAACTGAGTGCTTGCTACCTGGATTGAGCCTAGTCTCTGGATTCCCATGTGTACCCAGCCTTCTCTACTTGCCCTCTTGTGTTGCCATGGAGTCCCACATTTAGTCCCCACAGCACTAAATGGACTGGGGGAAGGCGTGGGTGTTTTTTAGATGAATAACCTTAAAATTCTTGATATAGAATTATGACTTGGAGGTGGGAAATAAATTATATATTCTGATTTGATTTCTTGGTAGAATAGTCTTGGTGGCAGGATCTGTGTTATTTGGAGTTAGAGGTGGTAACTGAAATCTCCAGGAGCGGCTCAGCACAGTGGTGACCTTTGGGCTATAGATCCCCACAGAAGGCTTTCTCTCCTAACTGCTAAGCCAGCTCAGTGCCAATGGAAAAAGCCAGATTAAGCTGGAGCAAGGGAATTTTCTTTCATTTTTTTTTTTGAGGGTCTCACTGTGTATGTTGTATGTTGGCCTCAAACTTAGGATTCTCCTAACTCAGCCACCCTAGTGCTAGGGTTCCAGACCTGTGTCACATACTCAGCTGAAGCAAGTGATTTATGGGCCATGGTGTTGTGGCAGGTTGCTTGGTGTCTGTTCCCAGTTTAGTGCTGTGGCCCACTTCTCTGGCCTATTTTCATAAAATAAAACAGGGCTCCAACATACCAAGAGCATTGAAAAGAGTGACTAGGAAATGGGACACCTAAATGATGTGCGCTTTTTACCAGCTGTGGTTAGAGGTGGGGATCCCCACACCACCTTCTACTGGAACTTTGGCCAGTCCAAAGGCTGTGCTTGTGTCCTTAGAATCCGTTCTGGGGCTTATGCTCCAAGTCTAACTCTGGTATTGGTCCCTCTTCTCTATGGTAGACCAGATGGTAGGAGGCTCAGGTTAGTGGGCACCAGGCTGCTGTTACACAGATTAGAAGGGGCAGTTGGTTTTGCCTCTCTACTTCAAAGAAATGCTAATGAGAATGTTTTCTGCTTTTCCTCAAAGAAATTGGCCAGTTTCAGAAAATAGTTGGTGGTCTAATTGAGCTTGTGGATCAGCTCGCAAAAGAAGCGGAGAACGAGAAGATGAAGGTAAGATTAGCAGTTGGCCTTGGCCAGGAACCCTGTGGCCTTGTCTTTATTATAGGGATGGTAGGCTCATTTATTTAACACAGGTATTTAATAATCAATAGATGCTGGCCTAGTTAACGTGGTGAGCTTATGCCAGTATTTTCTTTCTTCTTTTATGCACATTGGTGATTTGTCGGCATGTTTGTCTGTGTGAGGGCGTCGGATCCCCTGGAACTGTTGTGAGCTGCCATGTGGGGTGCTTGGAATCAAACCAGTGTTCTCTGGAAGAGCAGTCAGTGCTCTTATAACCGCTGACCCATTTCTCTAGCCCCCAGTATTTTTTTTTAAACTTATTTCATGTGAACGAATGTTTGTCTGCATGGATGTCTGTGCACACACATGTGCACGTCTAGAGACCAGAAGGCATCAGATCCTCTGAAACTAGAATTAGAAATGTTTGGTTGTGAGTTGCTTTATGAGTGCTGGCAATTGAACCTAGACCCTCTGCAAACACAGCTAGTGCTTAATGGAGACACCTCTCCAGTCCCCAGATTTTTAGATTGATTTATGTGCATGACTATTTTGCTAACTTGCATGTATGTGCACCACGTATGTGCCTGGTATCCTTGTTCTTGGAGGTCAGAGAGGGTGTGGGATTCCACAGAACTGAAGTTATAGATACTTGTGAGCTGCCATGTGGGTGCTCTCCACGAGCAACCAGTGCTCTTAACCACTGAGTCCTTTTCCAGCCTGGCCAGTACACACTTGTTACTCGTTTTGATCTTCATGGTAGTACTGGTGGGTGTTTTTACCCTCCTTTTACACATGAAGATGTGAAAGACTGTCGGGTACAGATGACTCGGTAAAGGGCGATCAGTTAAAAGTGATGTCTCCCAATGGGCCACTGCATACACTTGGGCAAGCCAGACCACTTTTTTTTTTTTTTTTTTTTTGCCACTTTTCACCAAGCCCTTTGGGATCAATGGGTTAATAGTCTTGACTAGCCATTAAAACCATGGGGCTCTTCTCTCTTTTCCCCTCCCAAGTGGCTTGTCCCTTTTGAAGAACTTAGGTGAGTTTAAACAATGCCTCCTTTGGCCCTGATGTTTCTTAGGCCATTGGTGCTCGGAATTTGCTGAAATCCATAGCAAAACAGAGAGAAGCCCAACAGCAGCAACTGCAAGCCCTAATAGCAGAGAAGAAAATGCAGCTAGAAAGGTAAGCAGCCATGCTAAGCCAGTACTCAACTGCAGATTCTCATTTTCCTACTCATCACCTTGTCTTTATACATCATTTCCCATGTAGAGCACCTCACTGGGTATCCTGGAGATTTTTAAAAATAAATTTGATAAGAAAGTGGGGACTTAGTTAATTCCAGATGGCTTCCCAGTCTGAGCACTGGTTCCTGTAACAAGGACTGAGGCCACCTCCTGTGCCTTCCCTAGGGATGGAGGTTTCTCCTGGGTGGCTCCGAGTAGGGCTTTGCTTATTTCACACTCCTGCCCTGGCTTCATAGCTAATCATTTCTTGCAACTATCTAAAGCTCTATACTCTCAATTAACTTGTTTTTATTTCCTTCTTTTCAGGGCTTCTAACAATTTTGTTTTTCAGGTATCGGGTTGAATATGAAGCTTTGTGTAAAGTAGAAGCAGAACAAAATGAATTTATTGACCAATTTATTTTTCAGAAATGAACTGAAATTTTCATTATTTATAGCAGGAAAGCAAAAAAGCACCCAAAACAAACAGAAAAACCTCTGTACCATTCCAGTGACTTGACTGATGACCAAGTATGTCATGGCAGTGTACAAGGAGGCAGTACTGCCATCTGGGGCCCCTCTGGGGCAGCTGCTCCAGTGCTCAGCAGTTGCTAGTGGCAGAGGCAGCACAGGGCCTCACCTCTTGCATTCTCAGCACAAACTAAACTTTGATCCACTTTTTTTTTTTTTTTTTAAATTTTAAAAGCTCTCAATGAAAAGCAATAAATACCATTAGCAAATGGCGTGGTCTTTTCTGGTGCTGTTACCAGCCCCTCTGAGAACTCAGTGTTCTAACCCTCATTCACACAACAAACCAGGCAGTGATCAGCAGCTACCTTTATTTGGACCAGACACACAAGTCAGACAATAATAACCACAGCAATATGGTAAAAGAGCACTTGCTAGCACCCACCAATCTTTCATTTCTCCGAGGAGAGCCAGTGGAACGGCAGACACACTTATCCCAGTCTGGACAAGATGGGAGGGACAAAGCTATCCACCAGGGAGCCTGGTGGCACTGAGCCACCAGAGTTGGAAGTACGAGGACTGGCAGGATAACTTGAAGACGGGGCTCCCTGTGAGTGGCTACCTTCCACTGTAAACCATTTCTGGCTTAGACTCGTGAGGCGGAGGTACAGGCAAAAAACCAGGTAGTTTGTCATGGATGTTAAAGAGACAAAATTTGTGACATTAAGGTGGCCTAAACACCCAGTGCTCACTGGTTGACAAGTGATCAGCTATAGAGGTAGTTAGGATCTAGTCAGGTGTGTGGTAACTGGCTTGTTTGCCCGTTGTTTAGCAATGATGTGGCAGAACTTTGCACCATTTTGCTGGTCCCTCCCCCTGCTGATGGCCTGCTCAGCCCTTGGGAGGTGAGGGCCTGGCATGGTTCTTGCCACTATCTTGTTCTTGTACACTGCTGCTTGTGTTTCAAATGCTGCTGAAACATGGGTTCAGAGCAGTTTTTCTTGTATTGTCCAGAAGGCAACTGTGCTGTGGGATCTCCACCACCAGGCAGGCTAGTGTCTGTTATTTCTTCTTTCTTTTCTCCTCGTTCTTGTAGTAAGGGTTCCGCAACATGAACAGGAGGAGTATAATGGGGATTATTAAGTAGGGGACATAGACACCAATGAGGGTCAGTCGTTCACGGAAATTCTCAGGTCTTACTCCTTTGAAAGCAACAGCTTTGGAGAAATCCTCAAGTAGAAATGTGGAGAGGACTGGAATTAATGTTGTTATGGTATGAACTGCATAGATGATGGCAGGGATTCGGATCCACCGGCAGCTTCCTGAAGCAGAGGAAGAAAAAAGGACAATTAGGTAAAAGTCATGTCTGGTGACTTCCAGGGTGCCTGTGACATGCTCTGCCCCTTCCCTGCTTGTCTGGTCCCTCTCAGTTCAATGGTTCTGCCTCTTGATGGACAGTCAGACTGCACACATGAAAAACTAGATGTGTTATACACTCAACAGGCAAGCTTATGTGACAGCTAGGACCCAACCGAGGAAATGGGAGCAGCAAAGCAGCTTGGCCAGTCTGGTCTAGAACACAGCACCCAGAAGAGATCCACACGGGCAAGAGGGCACAGCTGGATCCTGTGCCTACAGGGTCCCAGTGGGAAATAAACTTCCCTACTCAATGAGCTTAGTTTCCAAGGATGGCCACGGCTACTTCATAACGGCACTAATTATATGTTGGCATGTAGACTTTTTTAATTAAAAAAAAATATATATATATGTTTTGCCTGCATTCACGTTGTGCTCAGTGTTCCCCAGAGGCCAGAGAGGGTGTTGGCTCTTCTGGAACTGGAGTTACAGATGGTTTTATATTGCTGGAAACCAAACCTAGTGTTCTTAACTGCTGGGCCATCTTTCCAGCCCCAAGAAAATTTTTTAAATGAGAAGTTAAGCTCTTCAGGGATTGGCTTGATGCTTCCAGCTTCTAAGGCAATATGTTATCCTAAGTGGAAGATCCACAGATAAAAGAATCTGTGTGTGTGGTGGGTTAGGCTTCACATCATGAGGGATCTCTAGATAACCGAGGCAGTCCAGTTTACGGGACATCAGCTGAGCCCATTTAATGTTCCCTGTAACATCTATGCTAGCAGACACCAGATCCTTGAAGCTACAGAGGTTTGCTCCTCCAAGATATTTCTGAGCAAAACGAAGATTTCCCACACTACCAACCTTTGAAGAAGGCATATGCTGCAATGGGGAAGAAAGGCAGCTGGAACACAAGCTCACAAAACACGAAGGACTTGAACCACACTGGGGGGTCTTGCATCAGAGGGTCTTTGAACTCCTTAGAGTACCACCGCAACAGGTTGCTGAACTGGAAAAGACAGGATCCCGATGAGTACTAACATGTGGCGTGGCCGGCAGAGGTTCAGTGGCTCCAGCGCACCAAGGCCTTCACTGTGCAGCCCTGGTGCAGCAGTGACATACACACCTGGTTCTGATGACATCCAGACCAGTGGCTCCCAACCGTCCTAATGCTCTGACACATTTTAATAGAGTTCCTCATGCTGTAGTGACCCCCAATCATAAAATCAGTTCATTGCTACTTCATAACTATAATTTTGGTACTGATATAAATTGTTATGTAAACATGTGGTATGCAGGATATCTTATATTCAACCTCTGTGAAGGGGTCATGACCCACAGGTTGAGAAACACTGGCCTAGATGGTCTTAATAAAAACCTTAGTCGTGATTCAAATGTTACCTTCTTTGCAGAGTAAGCTTTCCTGGGCTCTTCAATCTCGTCTTAGTGCTACTGTGCATTTGTCCCTAACTGCACGAGCACACACTAGCTGCATCACTGGGGAGCTACAGTAACTGCCACTTAGGACCATTCTGCTCGCATCTGTTGATAAGGAAATGGAAACCCATCCTGACGACACAACCAGACTTCTAGAGTCCTCAAATGCAGGCGTCAATTGAATTTTCCTGGGGGAGGGTTGAGGGTAGAAGGGAATTAAATTTAATCTCTGTGGAGACAGAGACATTTCAATCCAAATGTTACAAATACATCTGTTTTCATTCACTGGCTTCAATTTTTTATTAGACCAGCTGGGCATTGGTGGAATTACACCAGAGTACACATCATTATGGTTGTGGTGAGGCCTGAGTCAGCAGTATGGGTCTAGCTCCAGCCTCACACTTGTAATCAACCTAACAGACCAAAGTATGCAGCTCCATGCTGACTGGCTACAGGCAGTAGGCAATGGGAACCTGCAGCTGCCCACTCTGGCCTGTCAAACTTAACATCCTAAAACAAGGTCATGCTCAGCTACATGGTCTAAGGCTAACCTGGGCTACATGAGATCTTGCTTCAAAAATGAAATGACAAAAAACAGCCTGGAAATAACACTAATGTATCTCAAAGTGTCAAGTTATGATGCTAAAGGTGACTCCGGGGTGTTGATCTTACGATGGAAAATTTAGGGAGGTTTTTTGGTGTTAATTTCCAATCAAAAGATAAAGGCTGTTGGGTATGGTGGCACTTAGTAATCCCAGCACTTGGGAAGTAGAGGCAGGACAATCAGAGTTCAAGGCTAGCCTAGTTGGAGGCTAGGTCTGGCCTACAGACCTATCTCAAAAACAAAGAAAAATCCAAGTAACAGCAAAGACAGGCTGGCTACTGTGAAATGGAGGCCTTGTTACCGTGAGCTTTTAAGCAAGCACCCAGAAACACTGTTGTGTTGGGGTCACAGGCGTCAGAACACACAGATGTGAAACTGGATCCTTGGCAATACCCTTTGCATGCCCTGAGCACTCTTCAGGGCAGTAAGGTAGGGACAGGAAAGGTTAAGTCAGCCTCTCTCGGTTCTCTACTTCCTAACCTGTAAATTGAGCAAGTCATGCTAAATGTTTTTGCCCCTCATTGCATTTTTTTTTTTTTAAAACAGGGTCTCTTGTAACTGAAACTGGCCTTGAACTCCTGATCCTCCGCTTCCCAGGTGTTGGGGTTAGAGATGTGCACCACCACACACAACTTCACATTATAACTACTTATTTAGCAAGATGCATTTCAGAGTGAAGTACTGGCAGGTATTTCTGCCCGTTTGAATGCCGCTGTAAACAACTGAGCTGAGGGTGGCCTACTCCTCAGGCCCAGACCAATGTGCAGTACTGCAGAGCTGAAAGGCTGCAGGGTAAGATCAGCAAAGCCGGCTGCCCCGCTCCCAGGCAGCTGGAGCCCACAGGGGCTCCCACCTACCTACCGGATGCCAGCACAGCTGGACAAGCAGTGAGTGTGGTAGCGCTGCAGGGCTGGCGGCAAGGGCCTGGCTCCAGCACACGATTTCTCCACCTCTGTGTTCAGATGCAGTGAATTCATGTACAACAACGGTGAACACGGATGAAGACGTGTGTGCTTGGTCCATAGCCAAAGATGTTCCAGTTTAACACTACCAAATCTAAGCATGTAATTGCTCAATATCATTTAAGCCCTGCACTCCAAGGTTTAAAAGAAAAAACTTTCCATTTACACCACACCTACCTGGAACTGGTCTGCTACAGAATCCTGCAGAACCTCAATTAGGATCAGGACCGACTGCTTTTAGATCTATGGGCTCACACGGTTTTCTTATTTTAACAGGATTGGTTCACTCAGTTGCAAGAGATACTACAAAATGCTTCCTTTCCTTCTGTTTGAACCCAAGCTTGTCTTTAAGCTCAGCCCAGGTGATTTGATTCAAGCAACCAAGTTTAGTTTGCAAAACTCAGCCCAGTCACTGAGGCCTTCCACCTTTTTGGGGAAAAACCCTAGATGATATGTTTTAGCTTCTTATAAATGGACTTTTTGTGGGTGTAAATTTGGGCTTTGCTGTTTGTTTTACAGACAGTCTTGCTCTGTAGCCTAGGTTGGCCTTCAACCCAGTGAGTGATCCTTGTCTCATATCCTTCTGAGTACCACCAAACCGGTTCTAAATTCAAGGATCATTCAAGACAATCTGTGACTGACTTAAATCCCCAGACTATTATTTTCTCCGTGGAGAAGCAACAAAATCACTCCCCATCCAAATGAAACAAGAGGGAGGAGGGGATAGTGTTGTAGGCAGGGTGTTTCAGGTTTATGCCTTTAATACCACAGTTTTTGGTCAAGACATTAAAAAGGCAGGGCCAGCAAGACGGTTCTGTGGGAAAAGTGCTTGGTGCACAAGCCTGATGACTAACTCCCTATCCAGAACTCCTGTAAAGATGGAGATGACAAGTGACCCTACTAATTGTCCTGTGACCTCCACACAGGCATCGCAGCACAGTAATAATGAATAAAATTTCAAAAAAGGCAAAAAGGGGACAGAGATAAAGGGCTAGACAGGAAACCCAGCACTGTGTGCATGCTAGACCATGGCCAATTCTACATCCCGAGCTTGAAAGCTGACCGGGCACGGTGACAATAAACCTAGAATTAAGTATTTGGGAAGCAGAGGAGGGAACCTGAGTTCGAGGCCAGCCAGGTCTAGATACTGAGTTACAGGACAGCTAGAGCACACAGTGAGACCCTATCTCAAAAACAAACAAATGTTGAACCGGTGGTCTGTATGATACTAGTCAAATTGTAGTTATTTGGAGAGTGGTAAGCAGGAAGCGGACCAGCAGTCAGGAAAGACACCAGGAACTGTGAGGGAAGCAGAGGCAGCTGTAAGTAGTGAGACCCCATCTCCTAAGGCCCATCACTCAAACTGGGTGGAACGGTTCATGCCTGGACACCCTGTACAGCTGAGATGGTGAATGTTTGGGTCTGAGGCTATCCTGGGCTAGCACGAGTCCCCCCATCCCTTACTTTCTTTTTGTTTTTCAAGACACTTCTGTGTAGCCCTGGCCGTCCTGGAACTCTATCTGTAGACCAAGCTGGTCTTGAACTTCCTGAATGCTGGGATTAAAGGCATGTTGTCAACCACCTGTTGAGACCCTTTTTCAAAATTACCAAAATACAAAAAACAAGGGTTGGCTTCAAAGCTACAGAGAAACCCTGCCTCTAACAACAACAAAACCATCCAAAAGGCTAACAGCTAGTGCTGTTCTTTTTTTTTTTTTCTTTTCTTCGAGACAGGGTTTCTCTGTGGTTTTGGAGCCTGTCCTGGAACTAGCTCTGTAGACCAGGCTGACCTCGAACTCACAGAGATCCACCTGCCTCTGCCTCCCGAGTGCTGGGATTAAAGGCGTGCGCCACCACCGCCCGGCTAGCTAGTGCTGTTCTGATGGCCTCTTTAGGGTTTCAGGCCCCTTGGTGGCAGGAGACCAATGGCACTCAAAGGTATAATGTCCTTATTCATGTCCAACTGGAGGACATGGATGTAGTATTCAAAGGAATCTTCCTGGGTTAGACAGTGAGTCTTCAATGTATCACAGGTGACCTTATGAAAGCCAGAGGGAGATGTGAATACCTCTGACGTCGCAATATGATGGACGGCCTGCAAAGACTGACTTGAAAGGGATGCAGCTCAGTGGGTAGACTGTGTGGCAGGCCTGGGTCCAGGTGTGACTCTCAGCTCTGTAAAACAAGTCACGAGACACTGGCAACCACCACAAAGCTGCAAGCAGCAAGGAACATAGTCCTCCTTACAGCCCTGGGACCTACCATTTTAAATTCCTAACTTCCAAACAGCCTGAGAATAAATGTAGGGTAAAGTAAGCCACTGCATTTTTGACAATGTGTGAGAGCAGTGATACAAAATGATATAACTTGTATACACACATAACACACACTGTGTTTTAGTGCTGGGATTTGAATTTAGGGCCTCATGCATGCTGGTTTTTTTTTTTTAAACCAAGGAGCCACATGTTAATCCTACAATTTATCTTTGCGTTTACTATCAACCTATTATTGCAAAGCTGTGGCTGCACGCGGTACCCTAGTTACATCCCTCTTGCAGTGTACTTAATGACCTGTTATTTTAAGGAAAAAAAGTTGGAGCCATAGAGCCCTAAACATGCCAAGATACTCAGCCAGTTCTTGGAAAAACCAAGTGTTCTTGCCACATACTATCTAGAGTTTCCCATGGAAAAGAAGGTCAAAGGTCTTCCTAGTTATGTGGTTCCACAAACAAACCAAAAGGAGACTTAAGGGAGTGACATGCTGACTGTGTCACTCCTAACCTCCTTGTGTGGGTGGCACTCTTCCGGTGATGGAAGTCACAGTCTCCCCCTCCTCAGAGGGCACAAGATACATGCAATTTTGCAGACACCATTGAGAACTCCTGGATTTCAAAATTAAGAACTGCCCTGCAAAGAAGACAACATTTAAAGAGCATTCCAGAGGCATTTCTTGTTTCTTTTTTTTCTAGTCAGCTTTTCTTTGCGTAGCCATGGCTGTCCTGGAATTTGCTCTGTAGACCAGGCTGGCCTCGAACTCAAATCAATCCCCCTGCCTCTGCCTCCCAAATGCTGGGATTAAAGTCATGCGCTACCACAGCCCAGCAATTCAAATCTTTAGGTGAATAAGTCAGTCCTGCCTACAGTTCTATCCGTAGTTTGGAGAAGCAAGCAGACATTCCCTGGAAGGTTACAGATTCAGATAAAGTGGGGGCAAAGAGTGCAGCTCCCTTCAAAACCCAATTCAAATAGTGTACTTGAAAAGGCATTTCCTCAACGCGCCTGCAGCTAGATCCAGACCCAGGAGTGATGGTTATGACCTACCGCGCAGCACTAACCAAAGGCTAAACCCTTTAGGTAGGCTCGATCCTACTGGGGCTTTTTTTTTTTTTTTTTTTTTTCTGAGGTTACGTTGGAGTTTTAAAGCCCATCCACACAACTTTAACCAAGTCCAACAGCTGACAGTCATTGATTCACCCAGGCCACTTCCCTCAGCCATCTGCCGGAGGTGGAACTAAGCGAAACACACCCCGAGGACAAAGGGTTTGCAAAGGTTTGGGGAGTAAATGTAGCTTGAACCCAGGACCTCTTGTGTGCCAGGGATGCTCCTGAGAAGAATAAAGCGTTGGTCTTTGGCTTGTTAGACCCAGCTTGGGCCCAAGTCAGGCACCGAGCCGACAGGAACCGCGACGGCACGTGGGGGACCCCTGAGCCCTCACCTCCTGCGGGTACAGTTCGGCCGGCAGCACCGCCTGCAGGTCGATGAACAGCGTGATGGGGATGTGCGAGAGAAAGTAGAGGCCCAGCAGCCACTCGACGCAGCGCCTGGCGGCCACGGCCCCCATGTTCGTCCCGTCGGTTAAGACGCAGCTGACACGACTGCACCGGGAGCCCGCGACGTGGGAAGAAACCTAGCGCCCGCGCTGTGGGCCGCGCTGACCGCCCCCGACCTACGCAAGCCGCGCCCATTGGCCGAGAGGACACAGGCGCGGCGCGCGAGTGGGCGGCCGCCCACGGGCTCCGCCCCTTACCTACCCGGGCTGTAGTTTGAGCGACGGCCCACCAATAGTTCCCATTGGCTGTTGGGAGCGCCGCGCGACGGGGCGGGGCTCGAGCCGTCCACGTCGGCGGGCTCCCGCACGGGGTGGTGCTCCGTGCGGTGGTGTCCCGCGTGAGGCGTAGCTTTCATTATCTGCGTTCTGTTCCGGACCCGGACTTGTGGCCTGTGGCGCCGCAGTGACGGTGCCGGAGCTCCGCGAGCCTCGCCTTCGTGCTGGCTCCAAAAATCACTGTCCAGCCCAGAAAAATCGATCTTTTATCCTGGGTCCTGCTAGGCTCGGGACAAGATGAGGGCTGCCATTCGTTGAGAAGAAGGGGGCACAGGAAGTGGGTTCAAAGGAAATTAATTCAGTTTGGGCTTGCAGACACTTCACAAGGATCGGACTTGGCAGTTGCTAAATGGTAGCTCTCTTGCCTAGCGCTCAAGAAGTCTGGGTTCTGTCACCTGAAACAGGCCCCCACTAAAGGGCTGGGCGTGGGGGACCTCAGTGAGGTCTAGGCCAGCCTGGCCTAGGTCAGCCAGGGATAGAGAGACTCAGTCTCAAACCAAAACAGAAACAGATCTTGAGCAGGCTGCAGCATCTGAATGAACACACCTAACCGGAAGTTGGGTGAACCTGGTGACTAGATCTGTAAGACAGCATTCGAAGCGGTGGAAGTTTAGAGAGCGAAGTGCATTAAGATACCTTACAGAAACTCCAACCTCGGGGGGGGGGGGGGGCAAGAGAGATAACAGGAGAATGGCGATCCGCAGGGAGGAGTGGAGCAGCTCCCTGGGCGGAGAAACCCTGTCTCAAAACAAAACAAACAAAAAGCCAAAAAACAGAAAAGAAATGGGTGGGTTCGAAGTTTCTGCCCACAGAGAAAGAAGTGTAGTTAGGGGAGTGCAAAGATTAGGGTTAGCCAAAGTTAGCCAAGATTAGGGTGTGCTCGAAGGGATCAGGGATCGACAGTGAAGAGGTGGGTGGGTGGTCCTTGACCCGGAGACCTGAGTCTCTTAGGCCGTTTCCTGCAGTGTGGGGGTCTGCTCAGGAAAAGGATGTTGGAGCATCAGGGAGGGTTAGGAAGATAAAAGTGATCCGAAGAAGTTGGATCAAGAGTGATTGAAGCGATCGAATGTGGGACCCCAGGAGGACTGGGAGAGATGAGCCATGGACACTCGTGACGGGAAGAAAGTAGAGAGGTAAATGGCGGAGGCCCTGCTGAGAATGTCAGTGCCTCAGGAGTTTGGGATGTTCTGCCTTCAAGAGGGCCTGGCCATAGTGCTTTAGAGGGAAGGGCTTTGGAGACGTGGCCTATGGACAAAGCGCCCAGTGCCACAAGGCAGTAACAGAGGAAGGTGGGTGAGGGTGGAGATGTGGCCTTGGGGAGCAGGAAGGCTGGTGAGCTGGCTTCAAGGAATGGGAAAATGAACAGCCTGTGCTGTGGGGAAAGTAAGCCCTAGACAAAGCCAGGTGCCAGTTTCTGAGGTGACTGCTGAGGGTGTGGACAGTGAGGAGGGTCGGGAGGGAAAACAGCAGCAGACATCTGAGTAGATGACCATTTGAGAACAGGGTTCCACTCTCAGGTTGGCTTGCCTAGGCCCTCGGGGTCAGAGAACGAACACTCAGTATCCAGAACCTTTTAGAGGTGCTCCCAGGTAATTTTTCTAAAACAAAACAGGCAAACAAACCCAAAACAGGACAAAAGGCAAGTACCAAAGGAACCTTACACTGCTGAGGAGAGTCTGTGTGAAGTTAAGGCTTTCAAGAAAAGCTATTCCTGTCCTCAGCTCAGTCCTCAAGATCTATGTGAATAGCTTCCCTTCTCTCCAAACCATTCGTGTGTGTGCGTGTGTGTGCAGCCCTTACGAGGGCCCAATGCCTCGTAAGGAAAGAGACTCTGTCCAGAAGTAACAAGGCAAGAGCTGCACCTGCCTCCAGCCCCAGACTCTTAAAACTAGCGGGAATGGTGTTCAGTTCAGACCTTCCCCCAGTTCCTTCTTTACAGGGTTTGTAGTCCTTTCCAGACCAGGGCCCAGGAAAGGCCTGACCAGGCTGGAGAGATGGCTCAGCAGTTAAGGGCACTGGCTGTTCCATAGGACCTGGGTTCAATTCCCAGCAACCACATGGTGGCTAAGAACCATCTGTAATGAGATCTGGTGCCCTCTAGGCATACAAGCAAACAGAACACTATATACATAATAAATCTTTAAAAGAAAAAGACTTCCCAGCACTGAAGAGTAGTCCTAAGGAAGGAGTGGCTGTTTTGAGTTCTGCTTAACCCTGTACAGTGAGTAGACCCTGTACTCCATCCTGTGGCTTCCAGCTTCAGACATGTGGGGCCCCAAGCAGGCTTCTGCCCAGGGAACACAGCAAGTGTGCAGCTGTGAGTGTGCAGCTGTGTACCCGGCCAGGTTGTTATCTATAGATAAAGATTTCAAGGCCAGATGCTTCCACTGGAAGGCCCTTCCTCCAAATGAACACCACCAGCCCCAGTCTTGTGTTCCTTCAGTGAGAGCCCAGAAGTTCTTTTCTATTTTTAAGTTTTTGTTTGTTTTTTGAGATAGGGTCTCTTTACACAGCTTGAGTGTACTGGAATTCATTCAATAGACCAGATTTGCCTCCAACTCACAGAGATCCGCCTGCCTCTGCCTCCCGAGTGCTGGGATTAAAGGCGTGCGCCACCATCGCCCGGCTGGTTGTTTGTTTTTGAGACAGAGTTTCTCTGTATAGCTCTGGCTATTCTGTGTTTGTTTGTTTGTTTCTTGAGACAGGGTTTCCCTGCGTAACAGTCCTAGCTGTCCTGGAACTAGCTTTCGTAGAGCAGGCTGGCCTCAAATTCACAGAGATTCTGCTCTGGCTACTTGCTTCATAGAGCAGGCTGGCCTCAAACTCAGAGATCAATCTGCCTCCACTTCCGGAGTGCTGGCATTAAACCACCTCCCAGCAAAATAAATAAATAAATAAATAAAAATTGTTTTTTAAATCAATTTCTCTCCCCCGCTCTCTCTGTGTAGGGCACAGGCATGTGGGTACAGTGCCCACAAAAGCTAGAAGAGGATGTTAGATGCCCAGGAACTAGAATTAGTTACAGGTGGTTGTGAGCTGCCCAGTGTGGGCGCTGGGAACTGAGCAGTATACACGGTTCACTGGTGAGCCATCTCTGCAGCCCCCAAACTGAAATTCTTACCGTGGGGAAGTCATGTGGCCCTGGAGACTGGATGAGGAGGGCGCACAGCCGCTCTGCACTCATCGCCCTGTTCAGTGACTGGCCCGTCCTTGTGGAAAGAGGCTGTGCTTAAGGCCTCTTTAAAGTACTTGCCTACCAGGCCTTTTACATTGAACGCAACAACAAAAACAACAACTAGACAAAGCAAAAGACCTCGGCGGCGCTGTGGAATCAATGTATCCAGTCGACCCAAGTGTTATGATACACAGACACTATACAGTGATGAGTCCCAGACGAGTGTCACCAAGTGGGATTAATTCAGATAAGGCTTTAGCTTTCTGAAAACCTTAGTAAGTGGGTAGCCTAGTTATTGGACATAACAAAAGCTAGCAGAGAAGGGAACACGCTTTATAGCCTTACATTTGCTAAAACCGCAACAAGCAATGCTTCTTTCTACTAAATATATCAGCAAAAAGATCCCTAAAAAATTATTTGCAGGCTAAGCATGGTCTAATGTCATGTCTAATCACAATCCTGAGCGGCGGAGGCAGGAGAATCGGGAGTTCAAGGGTGTACTTACTTGACTACATGGCGCATTCAAGGCCAGTCTAAACTACGTGGAAACCCTGCCTTTGGGAAAGAAAAAAAAAAAAAAAGTAGGGCTCTTAACTTCCAAGAGGTTTTACTCCCAGCCCCACATAGTGGCTCACAACCATCTGAAATGAGATTTGGTGCCCTCTCCTGGCGGGCAGGCAGACACGCAGGGAGAATGCTGTTAACACAATAAATAAATCCTTTTTTTGGGGGGGGGTGGGGGTTATTCCAAATTAGGCAAATAAAACAGAATTCCTTGAATCAATATTCTAAGAGATTTGTCATTTCTTCTTAATCTCGTTGAAGAATCTATTTAAAATGACTAGCCCAAACTCTCTTTGCTCCTCTTCAATGGTAACTTCTTACTCAGCCACAGCATCCAAGAATTCAATGCATCTCTTTAGATCTGGTTTTGTATCACAGAATTGTCTGAAAAGAAGTCTTCCTATTGGCTGCTTGTCACAAAGGCTGCTAAAATCCTTTTCGATGGGGTATCTTAGGTCAGAGTGCAGGACAATAAATAAATCTTAAATGTGTGTATTATTTGAGACAAGCACCCCAGTGACCCCCAGTGGTAGGAAGGGAATCCTGGCGTTATAATCACCCCTGCTTCCCTCTGTCCACCACTTAACCCGCATTTCCCTCCTCACCACGCAGCCCGCCTCCTCCATCCTGTCCTTGTGTATTTAAGCGCAGGTGATGGTCACTCTCTGAGAGCTTGTCCCTTTCCACTGTGAGCATTGCCCTGGGCGTGTTTTCCACTGTGGCCTACGGTGTAAGATCAGATTCAAGACGGTCCAGTGCTTTGGAAAATGGTGAGCTCTGGAAAACTGCTGTGGCTTCTCACTGATATGCTCACACCTCACCAAAGGATAGCCATCAAACCAGAGCTAGGATCCTGCC